AACAACACGGCAAATTTTCTCCTGCGAGTTTCAGTACATATTTACATATGTTAGAAATACCAACAGACATTTCGTATGAATTTTAAATAACGCCTTCCCTATTTCCGTTTTACGCGGAAAACTACAGCAAGGATGGCTCGCGTAAAAATATCGACGATGTTGTTCGCTGCTTGACTAAACGTTTAGAATACATCCCTTATATTTTCTGATTTTCTAGATTTTCCAAAAAAATATCGATTTGTACGAAACAGGGCAGAGCAAAATGAGGCGCTTTCTTCCGGGCATGTTCATTATCGACAACGCTGGCTCACCTGATTTATTGGTCCCATTGTGACGATCTTGATTGTTGGAGGTCTGCGACACCAGTCTGTAGTCGCCCTTCCGGGGTTTGCTCGGGCCGAACTTAATGTTGATTCCATTGTCCTGATCTTGAACCCGTTGCATCGTCATCGACCTTTAACCGCGGCTCTCGCGCGCGCGCGTATCATGCAAAATATATAAATACACTAAATTGACACACGCGGCTACCGTATCGTACACACACGTACGGGGTACGGAAGCATGGGAGAGATAAATCGGGCTGAGGAGGGGGGGGGTGGTGCGGGCGCGGGAGGGCCCAATTGCCGACTATGGGGAATAAATATAATCGCGTACGTACGTGCGTGAGAGACTAAACACAGTGGCGCGAAGCGGCAACAGATAAATGTAAAACGACCGAGAGGGAGGGAAAATTAGAGATGACGAAACAAAGAGGGAGAAAGAAAGAGAGAGAGAGAGAGAGAGAGAGAGAGAGAGAGAAGATAAGGGCAATAGCCGCTCTCCTCTTTTCTTCCTTCCTGCTTCTCTCCTTTAGATATCTATCTGCCCCTTCTTCAGAACGCGGATAGGTAGATGCCGCGACGATGACATCGGAGGGGCGCGCGTCAATGCTCCGCGCGAAAACGGCACTGCGCGTCGCTCTGCGAGTCTTCTTCGCGGGGCCGTGTCATGAACCCGTGCGTGCCAACGGCGTCGTCGTCCGTCCTCGTGCGCCTCCACCGCCTACCGTCTTCACGATCATCCGCCACCGCCGTTCCAGTCATAGACCCCGTCAGCCGACCGTCGATCGACCCAACCGTGCTGTTCTTCCTCCGCCCTCACCGGACAATCTCGCCGCCTTCGTCGATGTCTCCACCCGTTTTCGCCGATTACTTCCTCGTCGTCGTCGTCGTCGTCGTCCTCCTCTTCCTCCTCCTCTTCCTCCTCCTCCTCCTCGCCCTCGTCCTCGTCCTCGTTGTCGTCGTCGTCGTCGTCGTCTAAGCGCATAGAGAACGCGGAGCGACACCAATGCACGCACATAAACCTCGCCCTCAGACTGTCGCGGTCATCCTGTGCTTCATACGTGTGTACGCGCGGCTTCAACCACGCACTCGTGACACGCGTACTGATGCATACGTCACTGTGCGTCACGAGCCGACTGATCAGCTGTGTGTCACGACGCAGGGGCGTCGAGTATTCGCTCTGTCCCCCCTTCCCTTCTCGTCAATCCCCGCTTCGCGCTCGCCGTTCTCTCTCCCTCTCTTCTTCTTCTTCTTCTTCTCTCTCTCTCTCTCTCTCTCGTTCACTCGCTCGTTCCAGCGATAACCTTATCTTTTATGCACACATGCCTCGCAAGGGAGTTACAGCTTCTCCTTCTCTTTCTATTGATGTGTGGAGCTGTATATTCCTACTCCGTCCTTCCAGCAGACTGTCGTGGATTCAGTCAGTTTTTCCCTTTTTCTTTCTCTTTCTTTCTTTATCCTGGATATTGTTGTCTTTTTCTTATTTCCGTAATATCTGCAATAAGGGTGTAATTTAAATTCCTTCAATGCGGTAACGTTGACGTAGTCGGGGCTATAGAAATGTTTTCGTTCAAGAATTAAGAGAAACCGACATAGATCGAAGATAAAATGCATCAATCATTGTGACTTCGGGAGGAATTCAGTGTATATCGATACTGTGAAATTATTTGAAATTATGTTACTTTAGTCTATCTTATCACAGGTAAACATTCATCGGTAATTACAGTTGTTGATAAATGTTACCACACATAGCGGAAGATAATATATGTATGTAGAAAATATTTTGAAATGAGGAAATTAAAGAAAAGAAGAGGCAAAAGAAACAAGCTATTTTATAGCTGATGATGAGAGAAAGCAAGTTTCATTAATCGGGGTCTCGTATGAGATTCATAAAATGTAAATATTTAAACACTGAGATTGTATACGCAAGTTTAGCGTTGGGAAGTAATACGTTGTTCATAACGTCGTGTTTTCATTACTTTTTTCGATAACGATTATTATTTTTTCTGTCTGTAACATTTTTATAATAACGATAACAAATTCAATCTTGTATCGTTACTTTAATATTCCTTATTATCCTCATAATTATTTAATGGATCACATTATATATATATATATATAATTATTTATAGATTAGAAATATTTTATAATAGAAATTTAAATATCAAAAAATGTGCTTTGTACTTCATATCTTAAGTCCATTTTAGATGATGTTATATAATTCGCGATAGAATTCGAGATAGAATCGTATTTATAATATTATATATCGTGTAGTAAAGAAAACATATGAATAATCAGAATTATAAATTTAAAACTAATGTTCTCTTTTATAAATATATATAAAAGACGCATCAAATATGCACGTTATTAATAAAAATACTCATGATTAGTCAATTATATCTGGTATAATGAAATTGAAAATCTATGAACGCTATGAATAGAATCGTGTTCGATCGGATGGGCAAACAAATATATGTGTACAATTATAAATGTTACCATCATATAAATATATAAATATATATGTAATTGTATTTATAATTTAATATACACAATTATAAATATAATTCTATTTCGAATTCTATTGTAAATTATAGATCGTGTAAAGCGGCTTTAGAGGTTGCATTCCGATAATCACTGTCAATATGTATATGTATATGTATTTAAAACACACACACACACACACACACAGACGCGCGCGCGCGCACAACGTAAACTATAAATTCTCAGTATTAGCAGTAAATATTGGAATTTACTCTTATTATTAACATTAATATTTAAAACAAGCAACAGTAATGAGTAACAGTAATGAGTTACTATTTACAAAAAATAATTATAACGTTACTTTCATGACGTAACATTTTCAACCCTGCATAAATCTACTACTTCAATATAAAAAAAGAGGACAATATAATTGAGAGATTATTATAAATACATATATACTTGGGGGAAAAAAAAATACATATATATTATATATACATATTTTGTATATTATATATAATTATATATAATTGTATATAAACTATGTCAATTTTTTATATAATTATATATAGTTTTATATAATTTTATATAATTGTATATAGTGAAACATTTTTTCCCGGGTATAGCAAATTATTAAACTAAAGTGGTCAAAATAGGACGTAGAAAATGTGCAAAACTGTAAAAAAAAATTAAAATAATCTTGCCAAAAAATGTAGTTTTTTTCCATATAAAAATTATCTTTCAAACAATTATCTTTTTTATTTGAATATAAATTTTTTCTTATGTTTCCCAACATGTCTTAAAAATTAACAACTATTATTTCTATTATTTCTATTAATAACGCTAAAGTTACTGCAGCTACAAAAAGAAGCATACATTTTTAAATAAAAATAGCGTCACATAAAAATTGATGTCGTTTTATACATATATATACATATATATATATCTATAAATTTTTAAATAAAAGCAGAGTCAGTTATGGTTGATGATTGATTAAAAATTGATTGATTAAAAATCTCTTATTGACAATTTTTGTCAAAAAAGATTATATTATGCAAAAATCTTATAATATCTTAACAGAATGGGTGTAAAGTGTGGTTATAAAGAAGTTATTTCTTAATTTTCAAAAATTCACATTTTTGAAAAATACAATAAAATACGTGGACAATGAGACACATTAACATTTTTGAGATTACTTATTCAAATAATCATAATATTTCCGGAACAATAATTCTTCAAATTGAACAATAGTTATCGAGTATACTCTAAAGAATTATTGTTAAAAAAAAACACATTATTATAGACATTTGAATAAGTAACCTTAAAAATGTCAATTTTTAAAAAGTATTTTCGAACTTTTAGCTTGAACTGTATTGTATATTACATATATGTATGGACTATATGACTTTTAAGAATCTATCTTACATTTCTAAGAAACCACGTATGGAATACAAAGAAACGAACTGTGGTAAATTTCCATGCGTAGTTTTATGTTACGAACCATTCAAGTAGATATTAGCTAACGTTAAGTGCAATTAAGTCAATTCTTATCGCGTCCCAAACACAAAAAAGAAATGGAGGATTGATAAGGATCATTTATCTTTAATTGAACTTTTTAAAACAGCTTTATGAAAAAATAAGTGAACGAAAAGAAAGCTGTGCACATGTCTCTTCTGCGTGTTTTGTGTGATCAGATGAACTGTGAATTGGAGTTTGTCAAAAATTATTTCTTGTAATCTTCGCTTTCGGATCGCACAACGTGCGCTTGACTTAATTTCGTCTCTGTTCACGTCGCCACTCGACCTTGTGGAGTTTTAAAAGCGGGAAGAGGAGAGCGATAGGAGAGAGCGAATGGATTGAATACCAGAGAATGGAAAATTTGTCGTGGAAGCGCAAGGCGAGAGGTGTAGGATTTCGCGTGCCATAGCGTTAGTCATAGTTACCACTCATGAATTTAGTATTTATCATTCGAATCGTGCACATGCCACCGGCTGTCCCACTTCACGAATAGTTAGGAAACGAATAATACATGGGATGTTAGCGAGATATCATTTTTATCTAATAGTAGAGTTATCTAAAAAAGTTCATGTTGTTAAAATTATGTAGACTATTTATTTTCAAGCAAGAAAGTAATATTTTATAGTTTATATTTAAAATAATAGGAATGTGTATATGATAAAAGCGTATACACTAGATATTTCATTTTTTAATCAATAGATATGCTTGAATATTTCTGGAGATATTGAATGAAATGAAATGAAATATAAAAAGCCAATTGATGCATAAAAAATTGAAATATTTAAATATTATAAAAAATTTAAATATTAGTAAAATATTACATAGATAATGCGTCTTTCAACTATACAGTTTGTATCCTCTTCATGTAAATTGGTACAAATAAAAAATTGCCCTCTTATGTTTTTTGAAATACTTATCGTTGCCTTCTTTTATGTTTTTTTTACACACACACATACACACATATATATTTATAATATATTTCAGCAATAACAACTCATGTTTTTTTATTTTCGTTTTTTTTTTATTTATCTCAATTACACCGAGGAAGACCTACAAAAACTACTATCGAAATGTTTATTTACGTAATATTCTACTGAAATATTTAAACTTTACGCAGTAATGTCTGCGTTGGTCTTCATTAGCTTTATATTTTAT